AAAAACTGCTGCCTTTGAGGATGACCTCACTCCTCTGGGAACAGGCGCCAAAGGAAGTATTGTTTTGCTGCACTCCCCCCCCCCCAAATATTCCCCCTCCCCAAAGATGAGGATGATAACAACTCTGCTGGAAATAGAAAACAAAGAGGGAGGGAGACTGATGGGAAGATCAGGGTGATTTCTCTGAGACATTATGACCCAGTGTATATGCCATTCAAACATAAAAGCCTAAATTGGCTGAAACATAAGATGTGGTTTTAAAATAATGTGCACTCCCTCTCTCATTCTCCAGTGCATGCTCACGTTAAATAACAAGAAAGACGGCAAAAAAAATAATTTTATGTCATGCATCTACTGAGATGGGTTTGCTGGCCAAGGCCTTCGCCAATATGCTTCCTGAGCCTAGAACTGGACACCCAATTCAATCATCTCTTCGATAAATACAAAGAGAGCTTTGATAACAGCAAATTCGTTCATACATGAGCATTTGCACACAGGGGCGGTGCTGTCTCTTCATTTCATTTATTTTACAGAATTTTGTAGGGTGCTCAATTGTCGAAAAGGGACGCGGGTGGCGCTGTGGGTTAAACCACAGGGCCTAGGGCTTGTCGATCAGAAGGTCGGCGGTTTGAATCCCCATGACAGGGTGATCTCCCGTTGCTCAGTCCCTACTCCTGCCAACCTAGCAGTTCGAAAGTACGTTAAAGTGCAAGTAGATGAATAGGTACCCCTCCAGCGGGAGGGTAAATGGCATTTCCGTGCGCTGCTCTGGTTCGCCAGAAGCAGCTTAGTCATGCTGGCCACATGACCCGGAAGCGTACGCCGGCTCCCTCGGCTAGTAAAGCGAGATGAGCGCCGCAACCCCAGAGTTGGCCACGACTGGACCTAAAGGTCAGGGGACCCTTTACCTTTTACAATTGTCGAAACCTCAAAGGGGTTTGCATAAAAATCCATTGGAATTATTGATAAAAGACTGAAGTGCAAAGCAAGCTGGCCGCTATATTGACAATGTGATGGATGCAGCAGATGGGACTCCAGGTGAATTTTTTCCCCAAGGGGGAAGAGATGCCTCCTGAAAGCCGATAGCATCCACTAAGATTACAGAAGAAAAAGCAAACAAGCAGAGAGGTGCCTTGGATTTCACAAGAGCCTAAGCTGTTTTCACACCAACATGCGCACCTCCCACACCACAAATTGTTACGGAGGCCAAGGTTCCATACAGGGCAATCTGTGCTGCTTCTGTCCACAGCCAGCTGTCTGGGTGGCCACCTACGTACATTCCAACCACAGGGATACAGAACTAAGATAAGAGCTACTCGGCTGAATCAGACCCAAGAGGCCTCCTAATTAGCTTCCTGCTTCCCACAGGGGCCAGTCGGATGGCTTTGGTGAGCACATCAGCAGGGCAGCCAAGAGGACAGCTCTTTCCATCTCTTGCCGCCTCCCCAGCCATTGGCATTCAGGAGCATGAGGCTGTTGAATCTGGAAGTGCCCTTTGGCAAACCTGGCTAATCGCCAGCAGCTTTTTCTCCATTAATTTCTTGGCTCCTCTTTCAAAATAAGGATAGGTTGGTGGAGGTGGGGAACCTCTGGCCCTCCAGATGTTGGTGACTTACAACTCCTATTAGCTTCAACAAACATGGAAAATGACCAGGGGGGTGATGGAAGCTGTTGTCCAGAAGGCCATTTCTCCATCCGCTGCATGTTTTATAAACTTCCTATTGCGGCTATCTTTCTTTCTAAGCAAATAAAGCCCCAAATATTGTTGCCTTTTCTGATAGGGCAGGCACTCTGATTCCTTGATCGTTTCTGCTCCCTTTTCCAGTGAAACAGATTTATTTTATTTTTAAATGGTGCAACCCAGAGCCGTTTATAATATTCTAAGTATAGCTGCATCGTAGATTTGTATAAGGGTGTTATAAACATATCAGCGGCTTTATTTTAAAATCTCTTCCCTAATGCTTTTAGCTATTTTTGTGAGAGCTCAGTTCCGGCAAATTTTAATCATGCCAAAGACCTCCTTGTCCCAAAAGGCAATAGTTTATGTGATCAAGAGCCAACCAAATCACAGCAAGAGATACTTAACATGAACGGGTTACTCAAGAGGGTCACAGCAGTTTAAATCCTAAAAATGTAGGAAGAACCCTATAGGATCAGAGCAATGTTGAAGAGCTCTTTTGGAATCTAGTGCGGCATCTGGCTTCCACAGTAGCCGACTGATGCCTCTGGGAAGCCCTTGAGTAGACACTGGCTCAATCTTCCAGTTGTCGCTGCCAACAATTCATGAACTCCCATCCTACTAGAACTCGTGGAGGTTCAATAAAGCTGGTTGTTTGAAGGTTCAGGATAAAATCAAGTAGCGAGAGAGAGGACCCCTGACAGTTAAGTCCAGATGCGAACGGCTCTGGGGTTGCGGCGCTTATCTCACTTTACGGGCCGAAGGAGCCAACGTTTGTCCACAGTCAGTTTTTCCGGGTCATGTGGCCAGCATGACTAAGCCACTTCTGGCGAAACCAGAGCAACACCATTTACCTTCCTGCCGGAGTGGTACCCATTTATCTACTTGTACTTCGATGTGCTTTTGAACTGCTAGGTTGGCAGGAGCTGAGACCAAACAATGGGAGCTCACCCCGTCGCGGGGATTCAAACTGCCGACCTTCCAATTGGCAAGCCCTAGGCTCTGTGGTTTAGACCACAGCGCCAACCCGCGTCCCTAAAATTAAGTAAGTACACAGCACATAAAGTAAGGAACTCTCTCTCACACAGGTGGCAGTGATGGCCACCAACCTGGATGGCTTTAAAAGAAGATTGGACAAGTTCCTGGAGGATCAGGCAATCAATGGTTACTAGCCATTATGGAGGTATTCTCTTTCTCCACATTTGGCCTTTGGGGAGGCAGTAATGTTTCTGAAAGCCAGTTGCTGGAAACCACAATAGGGGAGAGCACTATTGAGCTCAAGTCCTGCTTGCAGGTTTCCCATTGGGGCACCTGGGATCAGGCCAATAGCCCATCCAGTCCAGCATTCTGTCCTCAGTGTGGCCAGTGTGCAAGCACGAATTGAGCGCAACTTTGTTTGTCCCCCTTGTGATTTCCCAGCATCTGGCATTCAGACGCATGTTGCCTCCCTCCCAACAGTGGAAATGGAACACAGCTTCATCCTCCTTGCATTTGTCTAATCTCTCTAGGTAACTTAAACGTTGAGCTGCTAACAGCTTTTACACAGCATCCATGTTGTGTCAAGGTCCAAAAGTGTCCAATTGCCATTATCTTTTGTAATTATGTTTTGGCTTTAGTGTAGAGAGAGAAGAGAAGAGAAGAGAAGAGAAGAGAAGAGAAGAGAAGAGAAGAAGAGAAGAGAAGAGAGGAAAGAAAGAAAGAAAGAAAGAAAGAAAGAAAGAAAGAAAGAAAGAAAGAAAGAAAGAAAGAAAGACAATACAAACTTGAGGAGTGTGGGTGGAAAATTACAGTGACCAATACTGGTCTCCTGCTTAGCCGTAAAATTTATGAGTCATGTGTTTTCCTCAGTGGCGTATTGTGGGTTGTCAGCACCCGGGGCAAGGCAAGTAATTTGCACCCCCTAGAGTGAGCCAGGTAGGGGCAGAGAGCTGCGAGCGCGAGCGTGCCCCCCCCCAGATGGTGCAGCCGGCCCCCCCTGCACCCCCCACGCTACGCCACTGGTTTTCCTGACAGCAAGCAATGCTGCAGCTGTCCTTGGAAGGAGGTTGTACTGGTGAACCCTTTCCCAAGGCCTCCGAGGATATGGCTCTGAGTGAACACCTTTGCTCCTTCTGGTGTTATTTCCCCAACAGAAGCCTCTATAGAAGAAGTGGAGGGACTTTTTCCAGCAGTTGAAGGCTGCTTAATATGTCAAAGGGCTGCATGCTGGTAGTGAATGGAGCCAAAACTGGTGGGGTCAGGGCACCCCTTTCTCTCTGCCCTGCCTATGCTCCAGTTTTTCTAGTATTTGAGAAGCAAACACTCGTTTTTACGGAGCCCCTGGGGAAGGTTTTATTTTGAACACCGTGGGCTTGACATCATTTTATGCATCTTGAAAATTTATCCTCTATTGACTCTGGTTGGATTCCTTCCCTCCTTCTGCAAACCCATGGGCAGTCTTCAGACATGCGATCCTCTGCCTTATATGGGGTGGAAAAAATAGGCTCTCTTTAACTTTTGCCTCCTTCCCTGTGAAAGGACCATCTGCAGGCAGGCAGTGATACCTAATTCTGGAATCATGATTGGTCAATCCAAGAATGGAGGAAAATTAAGACTCCTAATTTCCTTTTGCCTACGAATTTGCGTTTCTGCTTTAATCCAACACTTCTTAGCATTTCAATATTAGTCTGGGGTAGCTGGTCCGCCACTATCTCCTTCCTACCTCTATACTTAAAGTATGGTAAATTTTCTTATTCAACTTGTTTATTTTTTTTATTGGCATATGGAATACATAAGGTATCAGTGGTGGGCAATGAATTTACAGACTGATTGAGAACAGGATATACTGATGAGGATTTCAGCTTTCCAGGTTTTTGAGCCTTATGCAGCCAAAACCATACCAGCAAACTCAAGGGAATCCCAAGCTTGCAAGGAAGTAGGACAAACATAATTATTTACAGGGAAATAGCTCAGCGAACGCCAAGCATGCTCATTTGCCATGGACTAAGAATTGACTGCTGGAAAGGATAGAAGAGACAATTGTGGGGGAAGGCATGGCTGACTAGAAGCGTGAACATTCATGTGCTGGCCCTACTGCTTCTTTTTCATTTTTGGATTTTATACCGTGACCAGCAAATCATTCTCCCACATCAGTAGCAGCCAGCACCAATTGCCCTTTACACCCTAATAGCGGTCCAGGGAAAGTGGAACTAGAATCTTTCATAAAGTGTAGCTTTAAAGGTTTGCAAGAAAAACTTCAGGTTTTGTGTAAGAATTGCTTTCTCGTTAAAATGTGACTCTTCTCCATCCTCTTAAAGGGGGAGATGTGGGGGGAAGCACAAAATTCAACAAAACTGAAAACGTTTATTGTGATACCTCAAGTAGATACAATAAAGGGAAACAACAACTTGTGTACAGTATTGCCAAGACAAAAACCAGAAAGAAGCCACATCAGCTGCGCAAAAAGTAAGAGTTTTTCCAAAAGCGTTCCAGCAATGAGGCACAAGTCAATGGGCACCTGCTATGACTCCTGTGTTTTTGACCCTACCTTGCTTCTGTGAAATCCCTGTTCATGGTAGCATAAGATTACTGGTGGTTGCCTCTACACAAATGGTGTACCATTAACTTGAACATTTGCCGTCATTCCTTTCACCATTATACAAAGCTGGATAATAAACTGTGGCTATCTGGGTTGAGTCGTCATAAAACAGGTTATCATAGCAGACCATAATCTTCTCTGAAAAAAACAGCATATTTTTGTAAATCTCACATTTCAGATTTATTAGAAATCAAAATGGTACAGCCCAATTAATGCTGACATTCATATTAATGACCAAAGTGCACTGTCCCTTTCCCTCAAAAGGGAAACACTGCTTCTCTGAAGTCTTAATTTCACCCGACACCAAGGGAGCTTTCAGTAACGGTTATGCATAACACAGTCCTGTGACATAAGGTTCATCATACAGGTAATAAAGCAATTTAGAGAGACATTGGTAATTTCAACTTCACAACATAATATAGTTAAACTTGGGCCATGAGTAAAGCAATGCTCTCTAGCCTTGTTTAACAAACGGGCCGAGGTGAGTTCAAGTTGTTCTGGGTTGTTACATAATAGGATTCATGGCAATAGCACAGCAAGTCAAATCCATATGTATAACAAGACTGATTAGGCCGAGAAGCAAGCTTTTATTGGGACAAGTGGTGAAATAATGCAACTTAATATTCTGGAAGCCTGGTGTTTTCTTCCAGTGGTTAAAAGCCGTCCACAGCTGTTAAGAGAAATAACTGCCACATGAAATTGGTTCATACTACCGTAACGCTCACAGCAAAGGAGCTAGAAAAAATGGAAGAGGGGGGAAAAGTTGCACAGTGTTCAGATGCACAAAAAAGCTTCACATCAGCATCCTTATAGATACATCTGCATGGAGGAAGTTAGCATCTGATCTAGCATGACCACGTCATGGCAATGTTTCCTAGCGTTTACTTTGCTGGGAGCCTGCCAATGTGGTTCTGCAAGATTAGACATTCCTTCTTCCACAAGGAGATTTTTAAATTGCCTGATCTGGCCCTCAGTCATGCCATACTGTTTGGTTAGTTTATGCTAACCGTGGCTATTGAGTTCGAAGGGAAAAACACCTCAATACATGTACACTTTGCGAGCACATTTTCTGTATGTGCGAATGAACATTCTTCCCAAGAACCAGCTTGTAGTCAGTTCATCTAGTCCAAAGAAGGGGGGGGGGGGGAGCTAGTAGGTAGCACACAGAAGTTCACAAAAAATCCTTGTTACAATTTATAAAATATATATATATATATATAATAAATGTTAAGACCAACAGTAATAAAAATAACAGGTAACAAAAGTGCTCAAGTTGAAGGGATAGCGTAAACTTACCCAGAAAGAACACACAAAACCTTAAATAGAATACATTACACACACTCAAAATGGTTAAGAGGGTAAATGTTTTGAAAAATGTTCAAGTATTACGCTTATGTAATGCTGGAAAGTTCAGTAACCAGACTGACCTTTTATACATCAACCAACATCCAGCAGTATCTGGATCCTACTGACACCCAACCTGTAAAATTGAAGCACCCAGTTTTAAAGACCTTCCTACAATGCCAAGTAAAATCATTCATTTCCCCCAAAGGATCTAATATGCAATGCTACTTGATACCTACAGTATCATTTTTAGATTTAGAGTTCTCTACCACCCTTCCCATCCCCTTTTCAAAATCCATAAAAATATTGCTCTATTTGGTATTCTTAAATGCCTTATCACTACAAATTACTTGCATTAGATTTTTACCCGCAATTTGATACTCCAGGTGCCAACTAAAAAATAAAAATCTCAAGTTTTTGGCATCCAGGTTTAACAAACGGTTTAGGTGAAACCTTGTACCCAGAAGGCCAAACTACACAATATGTGCAAGTGTGTTTTCTTAAAAGCCCCTCTTTTTTTTTTACCATAAAACATTTGGGAGAATTAGTAAGAATGGAAAAGCAAGAGAGAGAAGAGGAGCTCCACTCCAGCCCCTCTTCATGCCCTACCCACGGCTTGCCCCCAAAATACAAACATACAATTGGAACCTTGGGGGCAGAGGGAGAATACTTGGGGAAATGATTTGGAGCAGGGAAAAGTCTAAGCATCTCCCGCCTCTACTCTTTTCATCCCAAAGTGAATTTTCAACTTTTGAGGAAGGCTAGTTACATGCTTGCCTCCAACATGTAGTTTAGACCTAAGTGATTTAGGTTTAGAATATGAATAATGCACTGATAAAAAGAGGCTGGATTTTGTCTCTCAAACTCTTTTGAGCCTCAAACTCCTGCCCAAAAGACCTGGCCGAAATTTGTCCTCTAATTCCTGTAAGTACTAGGTGAGAGACATTTAAACCAAGGAGGAACCATGCTATTGAAAAAGAAGATATGCTTCTAGCGACAGTTTCATAGCTGGTACGGCTTACAGCCAGCATCGTGAGCCAACAACAGTGCCCATCTGCTTACGATTTCAGTACTTACATGGTTGGCAGTGGATACTGTACCAGTTAGAATATAGTTCAAGTTATTTACTGTTTCAGCCATAAGCAGTGGAGGGAAGATAGGAAAACCAGACCTTTCGGATAAAGCGATTTGAAAGCGATACAAAATAAATAAAGTCAGTTTACTGATATTTAGCGAGGCACACCAGACAGATGTTTGCACAAGTCACTAACCCACAAGACACACAGTGCCTGCCTATTCTAGGTTCCCATGCTGATTACTCCTAGTCCAAGGGGACTGGAAGGATCTGTGATGGCAGCACTAAGGAGGATACCAGAGAGCCAAGTCTTCTCATGAGGAAATAGCTCCTCTTAAGAGAAACTTCAGCGGCTTGTGGTCGATGAGGGCGGCTGAAGCTGCTGCTGTCTAGGCGTGAGTCAAGATAACTCCTGGTTCTAGTGTACATTTAGATCAAGTACTGTACTGAAGATTAATGGATAAAAAAAACACACAAACCCTCATTCATATTAAATTAAGCACCAGAATAAAAGGTCATTCAGCAAAACAAAATTTGAATCTAGCTGTCACTAGTACAGCTCTTTGGATTTGAATGCCTAAGAGGTAACTATGTACACACACATTTAAACAGATATATTCAATATCCTTTTTTTGCATCACAGTGTAACCATACTACTTCCCAGATGGTTTGCTTGGGAAATAATTCTTCAAACAGAAGAGGGAAGGGACAATTCCTCTTTAGGGAAAGATTACTCTTACTTTTAACATGAAAGATATAGCTAAAGTGCAGTAGAGACTAGAAAGCCCATCAGACGAGGATAGCAGCAGCCAGCAGAGAGGAACAATGCAAAGTTTTTCTTACGCCATGTGAAAGACATTGTATCAGAAAGGAGCAGATTTCCCAATGTAAGGCTTTCCATATTATTCATGCTATCAGCAGCTATGTGGTGTTAGTGTAAAATATCCTCCAATCCGTTCCTCCTCTCATAAATTTTAGAATATTAATGCAAAAATCATGACATAAAAATTATTCAAATCTCTTGAAACAGTGTGCAGAAAAGTTCCCATCAGTGAACTTTACATACACACACATACACACACACATAGTGAAGTGTCTGACTGAGTCACCCCACAAAAAGCAGCAGCTGGGGGAAATTACAAGTTGATGCTTATTTCACATAACTGTTTATTACAAAATGTGCTCAGGGATGATTCAGCCAGCAAATCAAACGCCCCTTAAAAAACCTAGCATGAAGAAGTCAATTTGCTTTTTTCTTTTTACCTGCTCCCCAACTTCCAACCTCCCACAGGTAACAGCTAGAGGCTCTGGCCACTTTCACACACAAAAATAATCCTGTGTGTTTAAGGACTGCAAGAGCAAATCACTTCACCGATATCAACCTCTTTATCCAGTGCATTAAAAACTACGTAGCTACATGGAACCAGCCATAAAAACTTCAGTGGATGTACAAGTCCCTGTTAAAGGTACAGTACCGAGACATTTTACATGACATTAAAAATAAGAGCTGCATATAGTTGCATCCTTTGATCTTGAAAACTTTGCTAAGACATTCTTTCTTAAAAGAGCAAAGTTTGACTTTATTAGGAATGTTTTGATTTCGGTCAGACCTTATAAGTTAGTTGACCTTGTAAATTATTATTCCACCCTCGCTTCTCATTTTCTTTAAATAAAAGCAAGGATTTATAAACCTCAGCGAGTACAAATGACTAAACCTTTAACCAACCTGCCCAAAGATACACACAAGCTGCAGTACTTTAAAAAAGAAAAAGAAAAGAACTAATGGTTACTACAATGTTATGTCCTTCTCACTGCAAAGAGAGCACAGAAATTGCTATGTCCGGGGTCATGGGGAAGGAACATGCCTTACATTCTCTCTAGGACTGTTCACGCAGGCCTTCAACAAAATTTCGGGGCAGGTGATGGGCAAAAAGCATGCACAGAAGGAAGGAGCATTTAAAAAGCACAGTTCAAAAGAGAGCGCTAGCTATTAAAAGTAATGTGAAATTAGGGAATTATTCCTCTAGAGTTTGTAGAAAAAGTCGATCCAAAACAACTGTTCACACAGGAATACATATACAAAAAGAGGGAAACTTACACAAAGAGGAAAAGGCAAAAGATGGCCTTTTGGGGAAAGGGGGGGGGCACAAAATTACACTACTCAGTTTGGAGGTTTCAAAAACGCAGCGATTTTCTCAGCCAGCCGAACCAAAATCCTTTTTGCATTAGTCTTTATAAAGCATGTTCCCCAGGTTAATTGTCCAAAGAGAGAGAGAGAGAGAGAGAAGTGTTCCCATTTACTCCCAGCCATTGTCTTTGATCATGTGGGCAAGTTCAATGATGAATTTTCCTTCTTTGTATTTCTGACTGCTTTCAAACGCATGTTCCTAGGCAAGAAAATAAAATATTAGATTCCGTTATCCGCCGCTTCAAATATGAACGCTTCTTAACGTATCCGTTAGGGGCAAGGCAGGAGTATTGCTCAGCTTAACTGTTGTACTTTATGCACTTTGGCAGCACTGTATGAACGAAAGAGGGATGACCTGGTTCAAACCTCAACAGGTCAATACTTTGCACAGGTGAGCAATGGATTCAATTATTAGCAGATGAGTGTTGATTTAAAGCAAGAGTGGAAACCACTTTCAACCAGAGGACTAGATCAATCAGTGGCCAACCCTCCATGGGCATATTTGTCAGGTGGGCACAGCTGCTCACCTACCAGTCACCTGATTCCATATGATCAGTAGAGTGACCTGAGCAAAAGCCACAGGGCTTGTATTTGGCGCCATATTTCAGCAGCGCCAAAAGCAGGAGAACTCAAAGTCTCCCGATTGCTCCTTTGCAGCCACAGCTTTATCTTACCAGCTCCTGGTGTCAGGTAAATGGTAGGTGGGCATGGCCAGCCCAGAACAGCCTCACTGGAAAGCCTAAAAGGTCTAGTTAGGCTCAAGGGCCAGAGGTCCCTCCCAGTTGGTTTGAAGCAGGGGTGTCCAACCAGTAGTTTGCTATCTACTGGTAGATCCCCGGCTGACCCTGGTAGATCACGGGATCCTTATTGTGTACAAAAAATTATGGGGGGAAAAGCTAAAAAAACCTCTGTGCAATCCTCCACCCAAAAAGCTCAACAACTCTGGGCAACCCACCCATCCCATGCACGCTCCTCCTTCCTCCAATGACAATGGGTAGATCACTGCCAGTTTTTTTATAATGGGAGTAGATCACAGTCTCTTGGGAGTTGGGCATGCCTGGTTTAAAGCTATCCCATGCTTCTTTGCCACTGAGAAACTATTAAATACCAACAACCAGAATTTAATGAAGATTACTTTTGGGTTTGTTTTATTCCTATCATCTACAGTATCAGACTTTGAGGAATGCAAATCCTATGATAATTAACTTCCTTTAGGTACAGTCACAGCAGAGATGACCTTGAGGCTGGTTCCCGCCCAGTGTCAGAATCAATATCCTATGCTTTATAAAATACTGGGTGCATCACAAAGTCCCCGGGGTGCTGGCAGGTAAGCTCTACCCAGGCAATCCTGCCCCAGTGAAAAAGGAGTAAATGTATGGGGGAGCCCTATCAATGTCATCCGTTGATGCCGTTTGAGGTGTGGGGCCAGACATATGGCAATGATGGAAGCCTAAGCATACTGCAGAGAAAGGGGTGGGGGAAGTATCAGGGCAGAGCAACGCAAAGTCAGTCATACTAAAATTAGTAGACCCATTGAAAGTAATGGATGTGACTAATGGTGGACCATTAATTTCAATGCGTCCACTGAAAGCAGGGCTTTGGCCACATCACCCTGGGAAGAGAGAACAACTGTTAAACTGCTCTGGGAATTATAGCGCTGGAAGGAGAATAGGGGCCTCCTAGCAATCTACAGCCCCCAGAATTCTTGGGGAGGGGAGCCTTGGCTGTTTAAAGTGGCAGCATGGTGTTTTAATTGTATAGTGTGAACGCAACCTTAGTTGGATACAACCCTTTGAATTTAAAATACAGGTAATGTTAATAAAATAAATTTTCATTCAAGTGCCTTTATGCTCCTGGGAAATGGGAGATTTACTTCTTACTTGGGAAGACTTTTACCAGTATACTTTTCATTACATTTTGCAAAGAAAAGACTACGTACTATGAAAACTGAAAATTCTAGGAAGGAACCCAGGCTCTCCCTAAGAGCACCCCCATCCGCAGTGGCAGTAGTCCTGCACTCAAATAAGTAAGAGCATAGGCGCAGACTCCATGGGGCCTGAGGGGGCCCGAGACCCCTCAAAAATCGTTTGGGGGGGCTCTGCCCCCCAACAATTTAAGAAAATTATTAGTTTCGCGCACTGCTTCCCCGCGAAAGCGGGCGGAGGCGGCGAAGCGACGGCGAGATCTAGGCTGCCCGGGGAGCCGCGCCGCGGGCGGGCGGGAGTCCCCTCGGGGGTCGGGGGCTGCCTGCCCTCGCCTCGCTCCTCCGCGGCCTCCGCCCGGGATGCTGCCGCCCGGCCCTCGCCGCGCCGCCGCCTCTCGCGCTCCGCCGCCATCGCAGCCCCCGGCGCCCCCCGCTCCTACCTGCTCGCAGTGCCGGCGAAACCCCGAGGCGCTCCTCGCTCACGCTGGCGCGGCTGCCCATGGCCCGCCCGCCCGGCCCTCGCCCCTCCCGGCCCGCCAGCGCCGCCCCCTTTCTCGGGAAGGGAGAATCCGCCGCCGCTGGCCAGAAGGGGGAAAGCCGAGGCGAGACAACCTCCCGTTGATCATTCGCTTAGAAAACTTCCCGGGGCAGGACCCCGGTATGGGCCCCCCCAATATTTTTTATAAGTCGGCGCCCCTGAGTAAGAGGGATGGCAGTAGGACAGGTCCTCATGCATCAGTAACAAAAGCAGACTCCCTGGCAGGTGGAATAAAAGATTCCCTTGCAAATTCAGTGGCTCTGAAAACTGCTTGTTATGAGCCCCTCACCACATGTAAGCAGGGTCTGTGTCAGGCTCCTGCCACATTTCAAAGCAGCAAATATGAACTGAAATTCATATTTCTAGGGTCCACTCCAGGTCTGAATGCAATTTGCTTTAAACTGTTGCTTTTTACGTTGCTGTAGCCTGCCCTGTGCCTTTCTCAGGCTGGGTGGGTGGTAATAACAACTACTACTACTACTACTACTACTACTACTACAGGAAGGCCAACTGGTGATGGAAGATCAGGTTGCCTCTTTAAGATGTGGATAACTTTTACCCATGGATCTGAATTGTAGCCAGAATTGGTCAATTTATCCTCAGGCTTCTTATCATGCCACCAGTCTGACAAGGCATCAAAAAGGGACTGACAAGATCCAGAGGGTATCAATGTTGGGGTACTCAGACTAGACCCACTGAACTTTAGTGTAGAGTAGACTCAACTTTAGTGAGTCTGCTCAGAGTAGTACTTAGTTGGCGACAACCCAGATACTCCCACATTTGCACATAGTCTATTTTCAATGACCAGACAAAACCAAGCAGTTGCATGTCCAAAAATGGGCAAATGCTTACGTATTTCCATCCAAGAGTGGTTTTGCAGTTTTCACAATAAATATCTGCTACTGCATGCAAGCCTGTCAGAAGAACTCTCTCTTCTGCAGGACCACAGCCCACATTCACCCTGCAAGAGAGAGAGTGGGAAAAGCATAAGTCATTTTATAAGAATCTTCCTTCCCCTCCCATTAATATAAAGATATATGCAAATGCTAGATTGCAAAATCTCAAGATCATTCACACCAGGATTTTTGGCAAATATTTCCAACGTCACACAAAGAAGCTATTTTAAAGCCAAGATGCTTTGCTTGTTCCTCCTTACATAAACCAAGCTTTTGAACACAAACCAAATTAAACATCTGTGTGATTTCCGACCTAGTATTAATTACCAGAAATTGTTTTAACCAGTGCCATTTTTCTAGAAAAAGAGGTGCCAGAGCTCATTATGAAGTTCTCCCTTGTTCTCTTAGAATGGCAATGGTGCCCACCTGAGAGGTGCTGGAGCTGAGCTCTTGTGAGCTCCAGCTGGGGAAAAAAGCCCTGGTTTTAACTATGGCTTTGTTTCTGTGTTTCTTTTAAAGGTAAAGGACCCTTGGACAATGAAGTTCAGTCAAAGGCGACTATGGGGTTGCGGCGCTCATATCGCTTTCAGGCTGAGGGAGCCGGCGTTTGTCCACAGACAGCTTTCTGGGTCATGTGGCCAGCAGGGCTAAACCGCTTCTGACAGAACGGAACACCGTGACGGAAACCAGAGAGCACAGAAACGCCATTTACCTTCCCGCCACAGCAGTACCTATTTATCTACTTGCACTGGCCTGCTTTTGAACTGCTAAGTTGGCAGGAGCTGGGACAGAGCAATGGGAGCTCACCCCGTCGCAGGAATTCGAACCACCAACCTTCTGATCAGGAAGCCCAAGAGGCTCAGTTTGGACCACAGCACTATCAGCATCCCATGTTTCTTTTAACTATGCCACCAACAGAAGTTATTACCTACCTTGAAAGGATTTTAATAGATACTCTAAAGAAGAAAAAAGTTGCACTGTAAAGTCTATAGTTAGTTAGAATTATATTTCCATATGGGCTGGTTCCAAACATAACTTTTTTGGCAATGCTAATTAAGAGGAACATAGAAAGCTGTCTTATATCAAGTCACCCCACTAGTCTACCTGGCTCAGTTTTGTTTACACTGGTTGGCAGCATCTCTCCAGGAACCTAGACTTGATTGAACTGTGGCTCTTTTGCATGCAAAGCATTCACTCTATTACTGAGTCATAGTCATTCAGCCCTCAGAAGCCTTCCACATGTGCCTGACTGAAGGCAGAGCAAAACTCTTCTCTCACTCCATTCAAAGTATTTGAAAACCACAAAATACCAGATGCTAGGGACCAACAGCAAAGAGAGGCTACCATATTTCAGCCATGTTTATGGCTTCCAAGACGTCTGCTGGCCACTGTGGGAAGCAGACTGCTAGACTAGACGGACCGCTGGGTTGATCCCACAGGGATCAACTTGGGTCCTTGCATAAACCATGACAAAAAGCCAATCCACTCACACGCTATTGTTGTAAAATAGTCCTCTTAATTCCATAGAAAATAATAATTGCACTTACACTGAATTAAAGAGGTAGGCTCGCCCCTGGCTTCCCTGAAAGGACTGTAAAAGAAAAAGAAGACATATACATATATATATATAAATATTTTTTTAAAAAACACTAAAACATTGTCTCAATGAAGAGGCAAATCAAAGCATTCTACCTGAACTTTGAAACTAGTACATTGTATGTTAAGTGCAAATTCAGCTGCATGTATTGTTCCAAGTAATTATTCTTCAGATCTGCCACATGGGTCTGGAAACTCATTGTCTAAGCTTTAATCTCAAAACCAAATCTTTCCCCAAGTGTTTGTGCAACTACTGCTAGGTATAGTGCTTTCTTTAAGCCAACAGTGTCTGACACTGCTGCAATAGACACAAGAAAAGGGATGGTAATTAACATAATGTAGTACAGCAAAGAAAGATCTGGCACAGTTCAAAACCTTAGCTATAGAAGTCTGTAGCTCCACTCTACCATTAACATACACTGTTTTAAGGCAATCCACTCTCTCTTCCTTCCCCATCAGTAATATGGGGACAGTAACAGCCTACCTTATATTATTGAAACATTATTGAAATAAAACATGTGAAAAATACATGGATTTGCCTCTCAATAATTTATTGCACTCACTTTGCCCTCTACTTTTCTCTGTTGCTTATTTAGTAAGCTAAATAAGTTTTAAATAAATTTTGCTTTTAATTAACTTTGGTCATTATTTCCTAAACTAAGCCAAAAAATGATACAGGTGTAATTGTATAGGATTACAGAAAATTAAAATTGGATAACTAGAAAACATATGAGTTCACTGGGCATTCGCCATTCAGTTCTTGAGTTATCAGAGTTTCAAGTTGGGGGGTGTGTGAAGCTGTTGAAGGGCTCCCCACCCCACCAAAGGGTTCTAATGTGTTAGGAGAAGGGACACAATTAAAACTGGAGATTTAAAATTGACCTTAGTTATAACTGGAGCTTTAAAAAATGAGTCTGGCGAGCCAACTCCTAGGGTCTTTGGCCCCCAATAAAATACTTGAGGGGGCCGCCCCCCAAAAAGTTGGTAGGAATTGCCATTCAAATGGTGTGTGCGCACCATGTCATGTGATCGATTATGTGTGTGGGGGGGTGCTCACCTGCCCCCCCATATATTATTCAAGTTGGCACCCCTGGGTCAAGCACTGTCTGAAGGGGAGATGATGATGGGGGAGCAGTAAACAAATTAGAATCAACCCAGCAGAACAAGCAGCAAGTCTTAGGTCCCCATCTCCCCCTTTTACCAATCTGGTGGGCTCCCTTTTTTGGTTAAAAAAACAGAACCCCCTCCCCGCAAATAACCAACTAAAGCTAGTCTTTAATTCTTGTGCTAAGCTATCAGGCCATCAAGGAGATAATATGAATCTGAGAATATTCTTAGTGAACAAAGTCAGAAGGAACCAATCTGAGACAAAATGGTAATACAGCGGTACCTCGGGTTTGAGACGTTTCAGGTTATGCATTTTCAGGTTGCACACCGCGCCAAACCCGAAAGTACCGGAATGGGTTGATTATAGGTTTTGGCGCTTTGCGCATGCACAGAAGCACCAAATTGCGATCTACGTGTTCGCAGATGCAGCGCTGCAGGCTGCGAACGCTGCAGGTTGCAAACATGCCTCCTGCACGGATCACATTCACAACCAGAGGTTCCATTGTATTCAGTACAACTGCTCCTATCAGTTATCTAGCAACCTCTTACAAATGAGCTCTATGCAGTTACTTATGACCTAGTGAATGCCCAGATTCAGCAGGATTGTCATTACAGAGCACGTAAAAGTTCACATAGGTCAGAAATTTAATACAAGATGTATATCATTCCTAAATAATTCTTTTTATTTCAAACACTGTCAGTCCTTGAAACATTGTTAACTAAGTGGCAGAAAATGTTGCAGTGTGTAGATGGCAGAGACACAAAGACTCTTAGAGTCCATGATGCTAAAAAGTATCACATAGGGAAGCTTCAGAATTCCTGAAGGAATGTCTGTCTCCATTTACAGTTAAATGGGAGATGATAAAGGATAGAGTAACACATAAACATGCTAACATTATCATGAGCTAGAGCATTCACAAGTTTCACTGAAACAGATGCCACCAACCCTTAGGAACCTCCAGCTACACAGTGGTACGGGTTGAGCATTTTCGGGTTGCACTCCGCGGTGTGCCAAGTAATGGAACGCGTTACTTGCGGGTTTCACCGCTCGCGCAGACGCGGGTTGCGTTCACTTCAGGATGCGAACGGGGCTCTGGAATGGATCCCGTTCGCATCCAGAGGTACCACTGTATTAATAGTTCTCCTCAGAGTACCAGATGCTGAGCAGAAAAAAACAGGAGGTGACAGCCCCTTTCGCACTACATGCAAATATGCAAATTTGTACAGGGAGATGAGATTGTGCACCACCTAGAAACCACATTGTTTTCATATGGAATGCAATTGTATCAAAGCACCTTCCTAGGCTCCCTAGATATACACAGTACTTGAAATGAACCTCTTGAATTCATCATCATTGCTACCTAATAGGTCAAAGGGGAATACAGATCTCAAACAGGAATTTGAATACATAAAAATGGCTGTAAAATGATGTCTATTCCATAAACCAGCAAAATTTCCAAGATTACTTCATTTGGTTTTCATTACCACCCTGTCAGAAGAGATCAGAGAAAGTTACACCATATATTTTCACATATGGTGTGCCTGAGAAAACATGTGCCAAAATACTGATGTGCAGCAAACAGCAAAATTGTGAGTCACAAATTTATGGCTTATAGCCACAAGTTGTTATTGTTACTTACAATACTCAGGGTTAAGAATTTTATTAGTGCCTCTTTTATTACAACTTAGTTGCCTTTCCAAGTATTGGCTCCTGTGATTCATATTATTTAATTCTTCAAGAGCTATTAACAAGTCCCATGTCCAATATACATCAAGCAGGGTAAAATGGTCTTGCAGTTGAATAAAAAAAATAAGATTAAAAATTGCAGTGGTACCTCAGGTTACGAACTTAATTCGTTCCGGACCTCCATCCTTAACCTGAAACCATTCTTAACCCGAGGTACCACTTTAGCTAATGGGGCCTGTGCGCGTTTTCTGTGCTCATTCTGGGGCAAAGTTCTTAACCCGAGGTACTACTTCCAGGTTAGCGGAGTTTGTGACCCGAAGTGTTTGTAACCTGAGGAACCGCTATTCAGGCAAATAAATAGCCTGTGGGAGGGCTAGAGGGAGGGAAATGAAGCTAGGCCAGTAAGATCAGATTCACAAGGTGCTACACCCCTTCTTTACAGAATTTGTATGCAACACAATCACTGTATCACACATATCTGTACCATCCACTAGCCATTGCCATTTGTGTACAAAGTGTACACACTCACCTCGGCAATTAGTAATATTTGTTTCAATGTTAGTGCATGAGGATGATAGAAGCTAAGCTGCTAACAGCTCTCTTTGGAAGGTTACCCAGTATGTTACTGCAATAGTGGGAATTCCTAGGAAATCTGCCCTCCAATATTCATTGCTGGAAGAAACAGGAATTCCAGATGAGCTACAAAATTTTTGCAGATATTTTGGCAAAAAGACTGAAGAGAGTGTTGGTAGGGGAGATTCACAAGGACCAAACTGGCTTTCTTCCAGGGAGACATATGTCAGATAATGTGAGGAACATTATAGACATTTTGGAATTGTTAGAAGTGGACATTAATAGGAAAGCTGTTTTAATTTTTGTGGATGCGGAGAAAGCCTTTGATAACATTTGCTGGAGTTTTATGAAGAAGAATCTCCAAGGGATGGGGGTAGGCCAAGGTTTTGAAAATGGTATAGGTGCTATATATTCTAAACAAAAAGCAAAGTTAATTGTAAATAATGTGGTTACGGAAGAAATACCTATAGAAAAAGGTACACGACAGGGATGCCCAATATCCCCTTTACTTTTTATATCAGTCCTGGAGGTCTTGTTAAATATGATTAGAAAGGACCAGTTGGTTAAAGGAGTTCAGGTCGGAGCCAGACATTACAAACTAAGGGCATTTGCAGATGACCTAGTATTGACTTTGCAACAGCCAGATACTAGTACCAAAAGAGTATTAGAACTAATTGAGATATTTGGTCAAGTAGCAGGATTTAAACTGAACAAACAGAAAACAAAAGTGTTGGAGAAAAATCTAACAATGGCTGAAAAAGAGAAGTTTCAGAGTGAAACAGGTTTAGAGATCACAAAAAAAGTGAAGTACCTGGGGGTAAATCTGACTTCTAAGAATGTAAACTTATTTAAGGACAACTATGACAAATGTTGGACAGAAGTAAAGAAAGATCTAGAAATATGGTCAAGATTGAGACTTTCCTTGTTAGGCCGAATTGCTGTCATTAAGATGAATGTATTGCCTAGAATGCTGTTTTTATTTCAGACACTCCAGATCATGGATAAGATGGACTGTTTCAAGAAATGGCAGAAAGACATATCCAAATTTGTCTGGCAGGGCAAAAAGCCCAGAATAAAATTTAAGATTTTAACTGACGCAAAAGATAGAGGGGGGTTTGCCCTGCCGGACCTAAGACTCTACTATGAATCGGCAGCTTTCTGCTGGTTGAAACAATGGCTGCTTCTTGAGAATACAGACATTTTGGATCTGGAAGGGTATGACAATAGATTTGGTTGGCATGCATATATATGGTATGACAAGGTAAAATCACATAAAGGCTTTAAAAACCATATTGTTAGGAAAGCACTATACAATGTTTGGATAAGATACAAAGACCTATTGGAAAGTAAAACTCCCAGGTGGTTATCACCAATGGAAGCTAAAGAGACTAAAAAACTTAATATGGAGTCGAAATGGCCAAAATACTGTGAAATCTTAGAACAAGACGGAGAAAGAGTTAAACTACAGAGTTATGAGAAATTAAAATCTAAGGTAAGAGACTGGTTGCATTACCTCCAGATAAACGAGGTATTTAAACAGGACAGGAAAATAGGTTTCCAGATGGAGAGGTCAAAATTAGAAACAGAACTGTTAGAATCCAATACTAAGAACTTGTCAAGAATGTATAATTTGCTGTTGAAATGGAATACACAGGATGAAACGGTCAAATCAGCTATGATTAAATGGGCACAAGACATTGGTCATGATATTATGTTTGCTGACTGGGAACAGTTATGGAATACTGGTGTTAAGTTTACGGCATGTAATGCATTAAGAGAAAACATTATGAAAATGATTTACAGGTGGTACATGACCCCAGTCAAGCTTGCAAAAATTTATCATTTGCCCAACAACAAATGCTGGAAATGTAATGAGACTGAAGGTACCTTTTATCACCTTTGGTGGACATGCCCGAAGATTAAAGCCTTTTGGGAAATGATCTATAATGAAATTAAGAAGGTTCTTAAATGGACCTTCTCTAAAAAACCTGAGGCTTTTCTCCTGGGCATGGTTGGCCAATTGGTGACAAGGAAGGATAGGACGTTTTTTATGTATGCCACTGCAGCAGCAAGAATTATTTTGGCAAAGTATTGGAAGACACAAGAGTTACCCACTCTGGAAGAATGGCAAGCGAAGGTGATCGACTACATGGGATTGGCAGAGATGACCGGCAGAATCCGTGACCAGGGGAAAGAGACAGTGGAAGAAGACTGGAAGAAATTTAAAATTTACCTTAAAATTTTTTGTAAAATTGAAGTGTAATGAGATGTTAAGGTGTTAAGAAATAGAGAATTGCAGCTGTAAACAATAAGTTAAGGAAATTAGAATGAAAGTGAATTAATTAATCAGTTGGAGGGTTGCTGAAGAAAGGCAAAAACAAGGATGCAGAAAAGGGGAGGTATGGGGAAGTCCGGGAAGCAAGGTGTAGGAAGATAAGATTACGAAAGTATACATGTTTATATGTTTGTATGTTTTGTTTGTTTTGTTTGATTGTTTGTTTTTATTATATGCTTGGAAAATTAATAAAAATTATTTATTTTTTTTTAAAAAAAGGAATTCCAGATGAGCACCAGAATTGATGGGTTGCAAGATACACTGGAAAGCAATCTTCCTCCCATTTTTTCAGCAGTGTGAGTGATTCACATATCACCACGCCACGTAGTTTGCAAACCAGGGAGTGTTTGGATTTATTTTAAGGTCAACAGTGAGTCAACTAATTGCACTGTAGTGTTTGTTTTTAAAACAAGCATACGCAGTCATTTACACCTTTAAATTACTGCTATGTATTTAATTTTCATCCCATCACAGTCTTGTGAACATACCTAATTAGGAAAACCAGGCACTGAAAAAATCCATAACTGTAGTGGAAACCCTCACCTCTCTCTTGTCATCTAAAAACTATACCAATTAACCTAATTAAGTACAACGTTTAATTACCAGGCATATTTTACAGTTACATGACCCTGTCCCACCAACTTATTAGTCACAGTATACTAAACTTGTAACAATTAAAGAAGATGGGTGTTAGACAAATTGTCAGTCTGAAACCATTTTTAATGTTTGGTAGATTGTTTATTATGCTTTTACCTGAGAATACAATACTATTTTTAACACACAGGAAGTACAAAATTATGTGAGGTTTCTTTACAGAATATACTTAGTTTAAAAAAATTATTCCCTTAATTTTGGTGCAATATTGGCTGGGGGTGAGGGGGAGAAACAAACATCAGTGGAGGGAGCATTTCTCTTGTCATTTTTCCTTTATTGTGTTTCTGTGTGGTAAGCTTAAATCTGCAGCACAAACCAGTGCTGTAGCAACTGCTAACAAATGCATAGTCTTCAGAATATATGCATGTAGATCACAGCATATAGCAATCATGAGAGACCTCATTGCTGTGAAGGAAAATCTGAATATTAGATGCTCTTCCTGGGGTCCAAATTCCTCCCCAATGCACATGAAGAGTGGATACAGAGCAGGTGAATATGAATATATGCTTGGAAGAATACAGTCTCTCATTTTAGAAACATAGAAACTCCCAAATCTTTGCATAGGACTTGGGAAAACTGCCTGGTGAGAGGTTTCTTCATATATACAGATCTCAAAGAAGAGCCTTGATTCACAGTTGTTACCAAAAGTCCTTCAAAAGAATGCATAAAGGGGGGAAAACAAGGAACAAAAGAAAGTACAGTGGTACCTCAGGTTAAGTACTTAATTCATTCCGGAGGTCCGTTCTTAACCTGAAACTGTTCTTAACCTGAAGCACCACTTTAGCTAATGGGGCCTCCTGCTGCCACCGTGCCACCGGAGCACAATTTCTGTTCTCATCCTGAAGCAAAGTTCTTAACCTGAAGCACTATTTCTGGGTTAGCGGAGTCTGTAACCTGAAGCGTATGTAACCTGAAGCGTATATAACCCGAGGTACCACTGTAGTTTTGAAAAGCATGCTTCCTCACTTCAGGAATGCTCTCACTGGACAGGTCTAGCTGCAGAACATACACAGAATAAGAAACCCACCCACCCTTCTTTTCCAGCTGACCAGATATACATCTCTGCATACTTCAATCCATTGACTATTTTCTTCACATGGATGGCTAGTTGGTTTAGATTTCATGTCTGCATACTAGATCTTCTGTACTTGAATATTAAGAACCCATTAACATTTGAACACACTGATTCTCTTTAGAAGAATCATGCTACCAAACTAAAACAAGCAGGTTAGTCACATTACCTCAAGTGACCACAACCCTGATCAATGTGCTTCACATTAAGAGCACTTCTTTTAAAATATCAATTACACATCATTCCGGCCTGAGAAGAGACCAAACACACCTCAAGAAGTAGCACCTGAACACAAACAGAATGTAATCAGGAAATACATTATGTAAATTCTTATGCAGTGTATTTCTATAGACCCTGAAACACAGCTTTTGGTGTATCTTTTTGTCTCATTATGGCAGTTACAAACAGGCACCAGATCATGCATTCATGAGGTCTAGAGACAGGCCACTTGCCTTGGAAATTAGTTCATCATGATTGGCTAGATGGGCTCTGCAGTGGATACAACTGTAGGTCCGATGACAGTTTGGTAGGTAAGCCTGGAACGTTTTGGATTTTGTCATTTTTACCATCTCTGTTGCCAGTTCTTCACTCTGATCAGGGCTGGCACTTGAAGAATTGCAACTTTGCTGAACTTGCTGACAAAAGAAACACTGGAAAATGCAAGCAAAAGCCGTTGTTGTTCTGGAGTGTGTGTGGCAGCTTCCACACAAACGCCACAGAAGAAACAATCAAAACCTGCAACGGAAGAAAGATGCATATAAGCCACTTGAAGTCTTTTTATAGTACATATTTCTAATTAAACATTTAACTTCTCCATTTCATCATTAGTGTAAGTTTAAAATAAAATGGGTACCTTAAGTTACATGCAGTGTTGCTCCCTGTTAAAATATCATGCCTGCATGTATATGCCACAGAGTCCTACATGGGAGAGGAGAGGAGGGGCCCTACTCTTGCACTGTAATACTGAGGTGCTCCCAAACTCCCAACCAAAAGGGAGATGGGAACACTGCAACAGAGGGCAGTATGCAAACACAAGCACTGGAAACTCAAGGGTGGCAAAACAGCTGGATGAACAAAAGGCAAGCGTAACTAACATTCCACTCAACCAACACAAAATAGTTGCTGGGTAGGCCAGCTATGAAACTTTCTGCCCATAGGTTCCCCACAAAGTAAGTGCATTCTGAAGTCTGTTTGTTTAAATCAAATCACAGTTAACCACAGGTTGTCAGGTTTGAATGAAACAAGCAACTTGCAGCCACACGGGAGAAGGAGGGGAAAGACAGGGAGCATATGAGTCCAAGGCTCACCTTGGCTCATTTCCACCACAATAAGCCATAGTTTATAAGGATGTTTAAACACAGCCAAAGCCCAAATAAATACTGAACTATGTGGATTCAAAAACTTCGTAGTGTAGCCTCTTCAAACAGCTTTCTATAAGAAATACTGCTGCTCAAAAAAAGATAATTTCCAGAAGCTTGGCAGATGGTATCACTCCATGAATGCCGGACACTCATAAACCTCTGTTCATTATCAGCCAGTTGAATTAAGAGACACATTCTCTTCAGATCCTCGAGCTTCAGAGTGGTCTCATTTGATTCTAATATGTAATAATGAACTTAGGGTCTGGAGACCACAGACATCTAGAGTGCCAATGCTGTATCCCATAATAAATCAATCTGAGTGAACATAGAGGTGGGAAAACACTATCAACATTTTAACCATTTCTTTATCAATTTCATCAAGGACAGTCAAGAAACCTGGGATTTTCCATTGGTAGTAAAAATTAGAAAGGCACAAAGATTATGGTGTGGTAGCAATAACAAGTGTAAACAATAATGCCCTCCCCCAAAAGGACTGTTGGCAATAAAGTACCATATATTATGCAGCCAGAAACAGCAAATAAGAACAGGAGACAACCATTAAGGTAATATGGGGTTTGCAAGCCATGGTTTGGTGCAATGTCTGAATTCTAAAAACTGGTGTTATATGGGTGTCACTACAGAGGCTGCTTCAACAAAGAGATGGGAAATGAAATTGTTAACTTGTATGCTGGGAGAAAGGAGGGCCATAGCAAACAGTTCTAAACCATAAAAGTGCTTGTTTAATATTTGGAAGCTCAAATCATAGTTTAGGTCCTAAACTATGGTTAGTTACAGTGACTGATCTGAGCCTCTGGTTAATTATTCAGTCATAGTGGTGGCTGAATAATTCCTGTAACAAGATAAATGGGGGAGTGGGCAAGAGGAGAAAGCAGTAATTCAGTCTTTGGACAATATAAATGTATAATTAGATATAATGTTGGATTCACAAACCTTCTTAAAATTAATGAGCCTGTGCCTTGCAGAACTAAGGTAGGCAACATGAGGCAAGGGAGTCACCTAAAATCAAATCTCAAAATTAAATTTATTAAAATCAATGGCAGTAATTAATCCAGTTCTTGAGAGAGACAAGGGAATTCTAAAGTAAAGGAATTTTAATACTGTATTGCCAATAGCAGCACATTTAAAGTTTATTAATTGTGTTTTGTAAGTTGAAAATCAATAAATATGGTTTACATGCATCAATGCATGTGATGATGTCACAGATTCAGTTTTAAAGGATTATTTGTGTGGACATAATGTTTTTTGTTTTACATTCAGATATTTTAATCTGGCTTCATTTTAACTTTTGTTTAAAGTTGGTTTAAATTTGTAAACTCATCAGTTTTCAACTATTCTACTTTAAAGTTTATGTGCAGAGTGTGCTCATGAACTTCACAATTATGTTTCTTGTTAATTAAGACCAGGGATGCACAGATCCCCCCAGTGGTGCAAGGAAGTGCAATAACCCCTATCCTCCCTCTGCTGACTAGTCCTTTCCCTGAGTTCTTGAGGAACTGCAGATAACATGGAGGAACATGCTTCCCTTTGCACTTCCTTTGTGGAGAAGTTTTGCGTTATGCAAAAATCCTGTGAGAAACGAAACATGAATAGACCCCTCCCATATTCTTTGGCATGCACAGATAACTTCGGGGCGGGGGGGGGGAGGTCTTGTTTCATCCTTTACAGATATTCAGAAAAAGCAATGGGACCTTCTCAGTGCTTCCCCACAGTCTCTGGAAGCATTTATAAAGCACTGGAATCAAGGGTTGGGTCTTTCTGTATTTTTGACTGGGCTGTTGCATAAGACTGAACCATCTGTCAAATCTTCAAGACAAAGTTTTTTCCTCCCAAACTCCACCGCCACAGGCACAGACAGAAGATATAGGGGAACGGAGGGCTCTAGGATAATAACTGCCTAACAAGTTAAGCCAAGGATTTCTGAACCCTTGATTAAGTACTATTCATATACCTTTCCCTGATATCTGCAATCTGCCTGGCAGTGACAGATTGTGCATTTAGTGTGGTGGCACCCGGTTTATAGGCAGTCTACCTAATTAAATCAAGCTGGCACCAACTATAATGAGTTTTAGGCACCAATACTTAATTATTTCAGGGAGCATTCTGATGAAAAGGATTAACTTGTTTTTTAGAACCTTCTTGTTAGATGACCCATTCTGTGCTTTTGTTTGTTTTTTTAATGTAGTTTGGTTCAATTGTATTTGTTATGTTGCTTTGGTTTTAAACCGAAGTCATATTGTACACTGCATAGCTTTCAGTTTTGTGGTATAGAAAGGAACAAACAAACAACCAACAGTAGTTTCCTTGAAACAGACCTACATGAATTGTCATACCTACTGCAACCAAAACAGCACCATCCACACACTACAGGTGTGGGCGAATCCTGAGGTTTACAGAAGTACCAAAAAGAGAGAGATGAAAATACAGTAGAGCTCAAATTTACTGAACTATGAAAAGACTACCCTTTTAAATGTGTCAGCAAAACTGACTGAGATTGTAATAACAACTACCCAAGCCCCCCCATTCCATTTCACAACACTAAAGGAGTTTTAGAAGCCATCAAAATGTTTGTCTCCTAAAATGCTAACTATACACAAGGGCATGCTGTACAAATCTGATATTCTCTGCCAAGCCCCATGTGAAAACAGGTTCAAGCATTGGAACATATGTTTTTTCATATGTTTTCTCAAAAACATATGTTTTTTCAAACATTCATTCTAGACTCAATTAAGACACAATTTTCATTTTCATCATGCCCTTGCTACTCCCAGTTGAACATCCTACCCATTTTATTAGATGGATAAATAAGTGTTATTTTCATGTGATATTACAATTCGTACACTGAATGAATACAATGTTAGCTCTTCTGTCCACCAGCATGATGTCATTTGAAGGAAAGCGTAATCTTAGTAGGCAAGCAGCAGCCAATCTTAAACATAGTGGGCTGTCCTAATTCTGTACCCGGATGTATAAACAAATATTTAAGCATGTTAGCTGCAACAGAACGTTATCAGCATACAACAGATCTACAGAATATTAAGATATTCTCAAACCATTAAATAGCTTTTATCAGGAACACAAGCAACAAGTCATTTGATTCTATTATACAGCATGTCCCACTGCTATTTCATACATTATATTTATAGAGGTTTTGTACTATAATAAGCCTTAATTTCATTCATGTTTTTACCAAGCTACTAAAAGGGCTTCTATTAAATATGAACTACAAAAATCGGGGTTATACCCTTATCCATACTTATCTGAGAGTAAGCTGCAATAAGCAGAGAAGTATTTATTTCTGAAGAAACATGCACAGTTGGTTTTTGCTAAGTTTAAAACCCCTAAAATTTGTTATGTAAGACACATAAAATGTGGCTGGATAATTGTTCATTTAACTGAAGCTAATTTGCTTCCCACCCCCCATTAACAGTAACCAAGAACTCAGAAAGATCAACCTTGTTTTCCTGTCTTGGACTTTCCCGTGAAGTCTGTTAACGCTGAAGAACCTTTTTGATCCACCAGCAATCCAGACTGCATCAAATGTATACAACAGAAATAGATGTTGCTGCATTGTAGACAGTGCTAAAGTGCCTTCTGTGAAAACACATTTCCATAAGACCATTTAATAGACCTCACTCTTACTAAACTTCAAACAATGCTAAAATAAAGAGAGAGAAAACACTTGTGCAGATTCGATCTTCACTTTCAAGGGCTGTTAGTGGAGTTGAAAACTCCTCACTACACACTCAGACCACAAAGCAAAACATCACTGCCTGCTCTGATTTTAACCAAAACATCTCCTCCCACCCTTTCTTTTGCCTGTTCTTCGTCTGAAGTGTAGAAACAATGGATTCGGAGCCTTGTGGAAAAGGCAACTTTTCATGGAGAAGGCAAGGGCACTGCGAGAAGCAACATTCTAAAAATAAACATGCACCTCCAGTCCGCTTTGGACAATACAGCACGGAGGAGGGGAGGGGAGATGAACGGACGTGCAGCAGCAAAGTCCCAGCCAGCCTACCCACAACAGCAGCAGCCAGCCAGCCCCTGCCACAGCCAGTCCGCGCCCGGCGGATCAAAACAAAAGGCCAACGGCGGCTGCAAACGGCTCGCTTTCTGGCACTGTTTACAAACAGTGTCTGAGCGCCCCCGGTGGGGTCGACCTAGAGCGCAGCGAACCACGCTGGCTTCGACTTGCCCCGGGTGGGGGGTGTCCAGTTCTGGCACAAGGTCGGGGAGGAAAGGTGTTTTTCCAGCTTCATTTCCTTGTCCAGCCGCAGGGCGATCAGCTCGAGCCAGAATTCCAGTTCCACTCTGCCCCGAATTCCAACCACCACGAAACCGAAAGGGGAGGGGGAGAAAGGGCAAGTTCTCTTTTCTGCGGTTAAATCAATGAAAGCGAAAGATCTGGCGAGGAAAAAGCCTCGAGGGCTGACGGAAAAGAGCAAGCCAGCATGCAGTCACAAACAAAAGCAAAGCAAAACAGATCCGGTTCTGCAGCTGAAGCTGAACGAAAATCCCCTTACCTCTGGGGCTTACTTGTTCGAGCCATTGAATAGCAGCCTAGCAGGCTCCAAAACCACAAGAAACTGCAGAAGGGGCGGCACGTATAGACGACCCCCCCCCAGCTGCTCAGCACGATCGTCATAGAAAAATGTGCGAATCCGAGCAGCAAACAAAACGCCCCCCCCCCCGCATCCCAGCTCCAAACCGACAAAGAGCTTGCGGAGGCAGAGTGACACAAAACCGACCCAGAGATGTTTACTGTTCTACTGCCCCAGATAACAGGCTCAAGGACCGCCTGCATCTTGCAGGGAATTTCTGCGGATGCTATGATCAGGGGTAAACATACCGCCCTTGTGGTGCGCAGCCCTGAAAGATGGAGGGGCAAAGGGAGTGCGGAGCGTGAGAAGGAAATTAAATCACCGACGCATAGAGAAGATTACAGAACTGAATTGGCTAGGATAAGCTCTTGTCCCCCTCTCGGTAACACGCTAATTAAAAACAACAACACCCACCTCGCAAAACAATTTCTTTCTAAACCTTCAAGTAAACAAAAAACCCTCAAAAAATCCTATTGGGTCCCCTATTGCCTCCACAGGCTGCAAAAGCCAAATCCCCCTGCACTCCTTTCTCAGACTGCTCAAACAAGGGAGAAGGAAGAGGGGAGCCTTTTGTGTATATGCAAACTGATGCTTAAATCTGAATCTGAAACAAACTCTAGAACATACAAAGCATTAAGTTGCATGCTATTGGGTTTCTGAGCCTGTGCAGAGTACATTCCAATACACACTCACCTATAATAATTCTATTAAGAAACTGGACTTCCATTTGAGACAAACTGGTAACAGGAGTCTCTGATCAGACCTTTCTCAAGGATGCACAATTCTTTTCCTTCTACAGCAAATAGAAAAACAACTATTCTTTTCCTCCATGTGTTGGATGTTTCTCTTCTTTTGTTCAGGATTTATTTACCTTTTAACGGTGAGCCCTTGGAAGAGACATGGGGCCCACAGACGCCACTAAAATTGGTTTTAGCCATTCTAAACTTTCAGTGTCACAACGGGACACCAAAAAAACCCAAGTAAATAAATCTAGCACTCAGGGACTAGTATGAGGCTCATAATATCACTTACTAAGTTGAGGAAATTTTTAAAAATAAAATAATTCTTTCTCCTCAGGCCAAACAGACCACATTACTTAAGGTTCTCATCTTAAGAGGCTCCAAGAGATCAGATGATGTTGAAATTGCTGTATGTTGCCTCTACCAAGAGGATGCAATTGAATATAAACATTGCAGTTATTAGCAAATTAATAAGTATTAGTCAAGGCCATCACTGTCCCAGAGTAATTTTTTTATATTTTTCTGAATTACTTTTCTAACACTTTTGTTTGTCAGCTGCTCATTATCTAAATGCAATTTGCTTCCCTGTCCTTTTGTATGATTGTTGCTGTCTTCCTAGGCTGCAATCCTACATACTTACACCTTGGGAATAAGTCCCACTGAACTTGAGTGTGGATTTTGAGTACATAAGCTGTAGAATTGTAGCCTGTTCATATTTTCGAAATCCTCTTTTTTTTTTTAGCAGCCTTGGCTGGTTTACGTAGAGGCAGGATATCATCGCAAACATCATTTTAGGAAGTTGCTTTAAGCGCCTCTGAACCTCCAGGGAATATGAAAACATAGTCAATAAAGAAGTTGACCGGGGACACACAAAATATAAATACCCTACCTCCCTTCAACAGAGGCAACCATACAGATAAAGGGATCGTCATCAGCCCCAAAGTTCACCCCCCCCCAAAAAAATACGTCTTGGATCACAAATGTTGGGGAGCAGAAAAGGATAAGTCCACCCCAATTATAAACTGATCCTGCCCCCCCCATCAATGACAACCCTTCCAGGAAGGACTACCTGAACTCCTCACAATCCTCAGGTGGTTTTTTTTTTGCGGGGGGGAATGAAAGAGAAGGGGGAGGGAGGGAGACAAGAGACTGGAATGTGTGGGGAGCGTATCCCCCACCCTATCGAGATGTCCCGTCCCCCCCCGCCAAACACCAACTCACACACACACAGCCCAGTCGCCCTTTCTTCTTTCTTTCTTTCCTCGTCCCAGCCGGGGAAAAAGGGCAACACCAAGCGGCCGTGGAGGTGGAGAGTGGCTACCTGCAGTGGGGGGCCAGGGTCGCGCCGCCGCCACCGCCGCCTCCTCCTCAGCGAGCGCCGCCGACCATGACCCAACGCGAGGCGGGCAGCGGGGTGGGTGGGCTTGTGTGTCCTGTGAGGGAGGAGAGGGGGGGGTCATAGAAAGCGCCAACCGCCGCCGCTGCTGCTCCCGAGCCGGGCCCCCCCGCTCTCCTCAGGGCCCAGAAGCGACCGAGAAGTCATCCTGCTCGTCCTTCGGTCGCCGGTGTCGTCGTGGTTGCTGTTGCCGCCGCTCTCTCCTCCTTCACGACCCCCCTCAGGTTTAACGCCTCCCCGCCCCCTCGCCTGGCTTTTGTTTTGCTTGGACTCTTCTGCTTTTTCTTCCCCTCTCTCTCTCTCTCCGCCCCCTCTGCTCGCGCGCACTTCAGCCCAAGGCGCACGCGCGGTGTCGTTAATTTATTAGAAGCGGGAGTGGGGTGGGGGAGAGAACGCTCACGTTTTGGCTCCTCCCCCCTCGAGCGCGCGCTTCGACGCGAAAGACTCGTGATTTGCCTTGCCCTCTCCGCCTCCCTTCCCCATCTCTAACTCCGCCCACACTTGGTGCGCGCGCAGTTGAGGCTCCTGAGCCGCCGTTAAAAAACGTGGATTCCTGGTTTTTAAACCCCCCCCTCCGCTTCGCACACGCTCTTTTGGGTTGTGTGAGGTTTTCTTTTTAAAAAAACCAACGACTCCGCCCCCTTTTAGCGCTTTCTGTCCCTCACGCGCGGACTTTCGAGGCGAGGCGCACGTGCGCAACTAAGGCGCGCGAGGCTTGCGCGCTGCCGTTAATAAGCGCTGTGGGCCGGGGGGGAGGGGCAGTACGGCGACGCTTGGCCCGCGCGCGGACTTTGAGGCAAGGCGCATGCGCCTCTGGGAAAGGCGGGAGTTTGTAGCCGTTAAATGAATATATAAATACAGTACTGTATAAATTATAGACGTGAAATTTTGTCGCCGCAACTTGTCAATCACGAGTTACAGACTCCCCCCCTTACTTAAAAACAACAACGTTGCAGTTGTTGCAAAGGGCGGCGTGTGCGGAATGCAATAATGATGCAGAATACATAGATAAATACGTATTTTGTGTGGTTTTTATCTTGTATTTTTATGTTGTGTGAACTGCCTGAGATCTACCGAGGGCCGTACACAAATATAAATAAATAATATGGGTAAAGTTTTTTTCAATGACATCACGTGTTAATTAGCAGATGATCTATTTATTGCACTTATTAATAACAGCTAACATTAAAATGCCCCAGGAATGATGCATATTATAACACAGCTCTTTACAGCCCTTTAAAAAGCAGCATCTTGAATAAATTATTGGGGGGAGGGCAGGTAAACCTTGCCCCACATAATCAGAAGACACGTTGCATGCACACAGTTTGAATGGCAATGCCCATCAACTTTTTTGCGGGGGGGTGGGTGCGGTCCCATCAAATATTTTATTGGGAGGGCTAAAGAGACCTTGGCCCCTAGGAGTTGGCTCCTATGCTGGCAACAATTTGCACGGATAATCTTAAGGATAACAATTCATGCTTTGATGAAGTCCACAAACGCTAATGCTTTATGGTGCCGCTCAACTTTGGGTTGTTATAGAAACAAAGTTCACTGTGGATTCCCAACATGTTTAGATAATTTCTCTTTACTTTTATTAAAGATTTATCATAAGATAACAACCATTAATTTCTCTTTGTCAAGGAAATATGTGAAGACAAATTCCAGAGGAGTATTTTGCATGGTTTTCACCTACCACAGCCCTTGTGAAGAGTCACTGTGATTATTTTGTAAACTTCTCAGGCTGAAATTGAACTGTCAATTTTTGTCCTTTTTTGCTATAATATATAATATAGAGGGAGAGATGTTGAGTGTTTTGGTTGTGTTTTTATATATCAATCTGATACATAAATTAATCTTAAGGTTCAATGCTTTCACTTGTGGATTTTTATCACACTACATTTGTTAATTGCCTTGCTGTTACCAGGATGTCTGTTTCAACACAATTGTTTTGTGTGCTTTCCCTGAATGGCTGCTCTTAATAATTATCACTGACTGTACTTTTCTATATCCTTTCCTTCTGGCCTCTTCATTTAACCCCCTGCCCTTCCCAGATAAACTGGTAATTCAAGAACAACGGTGAATATGATGAAGAGGACCCCTGTCTGCCAGCCTTCATTAACTTCATGTCCTTCAGGTAAAATCTTTATAGTGGGGGTGGGGAGCTGAAAAAATGTCACATCTGGCAACCAATGTGCCCCTCTGGTTTCAGGTAGTACATGGGTAGATATAAAACAAAAATAAAAACCAGGGCACAAATTTTCATGCCCCACTAGCAGCTATGGTGACTCATTCACCAGAAGTAATGTATTTTGCTTTAACTCTGGAAGTGTATACTCAATACTGACCAAACTAAGCCTCCTGATGTATATTTTGCTCTTTGTTTATCTAATTTAGGCAGCAGCCAGAGGGACTTACTTTGAATAGGCTGGAATAGGCTTGCACTGTAAGGCTACGATCCTATGCATGCTTTCCCATGGATATGTCTACACAGGACACAGGAAGGACTTCCTTCTTAAATAGTTATGCATAAGATTACACAGGCTGCGCACATGCCAAACATTTAAAGTTCATGATTTCCCCCAAAGGATCCTGGGAACTGTAGTTAACAGTGCTGGGAATTATAGCTCTTTGAGGGGGTAAACTACAATTCCCAGGATTCTTTGGGAGAAAATCTTTTGTGAAACTGGCTACATAAACAAAGCCTCCAACTCCTGATTTGTGTTGTCTCTTTGCTATTACATAGTCGAAGTTGGAGAAGTTTATATTTAAACAAAATGAATTATTTTAAAATGTAAATCTATGAATATAAATTAGCATATGCAAATGTTATACAAATCAGCACCTTTTGGTGATGCATTTCCTCTTCATGGCCACGTCGATGCGTTAAGAAGCCCCCTTATGTGAAGTGAAGCTCAATAACATAAGGAAAATAAACATCTGGAACAGGTAACGGTTTTTAATCCGCAAGATTATGGCCTTGTAACCTTTTAATGTTATTTATTTATTTAGAGATGTTGTATAGCCCAGAAGGTATGCATATAGCAATCAAATAATAACAAATAAAAAATACAACTAAAACATCTACGATGAAACAATTATAATCAATTCAGCAGTACAAAAGCTTTTGTTTTAAAAAAAAAAAGACCTCAAAGGTACCATTGCACCAGTGTTGGCGACGTGCTTTATAGCAGGAAGTTAGCTACTTTTCTGTTGCCTTATAAAGTATGCATCTTTACCTTCATATACATTCGGCATAATTAAAAGAGCTTTCCTCACCTTTACTTTTAGGAATCTCCACAGCCACAGTGTTCTATTGCAAGCAATGCACGGCCAAAACATTACAGGAAGACTTGACGGCAGGTTCAGGATGCCCATACTATGGGGAGGTAGGTTGATGCACATGACTTAAAAGCCCTACTTGTGAGCACTTATGATGTCACTCTTTACCACATGCACAGTGGGTCCCCTGAAAGAAGGATGCGCCACTCAGCATGGGAAGGGGTCTTGAGACCTTTTTGAAAGGCTCTTCTTTGCTAATTCACTACACTCTCATTTAATGCTGGGCCACTTCATAATGATCCAACGTTCCACACTCAGTTCATGGGGCTTATGTTGGCATTTAAAGCCCTGAATAGCCTGGGGTCGTGTTAACACTTCCCATATCAACCTGGTGTGTTAAGATCAATGAAAGACAGTCTCTGGGTGGTCCCTGTGTTAAATGAGATGAGTTCCGTGCGGGCCTGTGGAAGAGCCTTTGTGGTGGTGACTCTGTCATCTGTAGAATGACTTTGACCTAACTTTTTATTCTCTTTGGTGTCAGGTAAAAACTCACATTTTGTTGTCAAGCTTTGAGTCTGAAGGATTAAGTCATTTTTGCTGTTACTTATGTACTTTACTAGAATTTTTAAAAAAAACATTTTCCTTATTTTGTATTATGATTTACATTACCTTTTAATTTTTTGTTGTTAAACCCTGCCACCATTTTTGTTGAAAAGCAGTTTTATAAATAAAGCAGAGCAGGTTCAATTGCCATTCAGGTTAAAGAGCACAGCCATGGGCAATAGCCAGGATTTATGTTAGGGAGACAGGGCACCCACCTGTCATCATCCTCTGTCTGGCTTTGTCTATCAGATTCAGAATGAAATGTCTCAACAACAGTTGTTTTAAATTACTTTCTTTTGTCCCCATGTGCTCAGAAAAATCTGTCAAAATCTTTCTGCAATTTTTATTTTTAGTTAAGTATTTTTATTTATTTACTTGATTGGGGAGGCAACTGCTCTCTCCCACCCCCAGAATACACCCATGCACACAGCCTTTCCTCCAAACAGGACTTACGTAAAATACTTGACATGCCATAATGACCTAAGAAGAGCACGTTCCCCTCCTGCAGTTACCAGCAACTGGTTTTGCAGCCGTTTACATGGGCTCTAATCCAGGAATAACAACTCCTGAGCTCACCTTTGATTGGTTAGGCTTATATCAAGGCTGGGAAACCAGGGACTCTCCGAATGCACTCCAGCTCCCATCAGCGCCATCAAGCGAAACCAATTACCAGGGCTGCTGGGAGCTGAAGACCAGAAGTATCAGGAGAGCCACAGATTCCTCTTCCCCGGTTTACATATTCAAAGAGTGAATCAGAGTTTGAGCAGTGAGATAAAAAGAGCCCAGTATATCAGAGAAGGCTGTGTTCTTTAAGGATCATTAAATACGGTAAATATTGTTATAGTAGGGGTTTTTTTTCTGCCTGAAATCCAAGAGATCTGCTGCCAATCAATGTAGATACTGCTGAGCTGGACAGACCAATGGTATAAACTCAGTATAAGGCAACATCCTATCTCCCCTGCATTCCTATACAACTCCCGACATCTCTGAGCTTAGGCCACACTGGCTGGGGCTGAGAGCATATTATACCATAATAGATGTATTATTCTTTAGTGTGCCTCAATACCCTTTGTTGCTTTCTCTATACAGTGGTACCTCTAATTATGAACTTAATTCGTTCCAGAGGTCTGTTCTTAACCTGAAACTGCTCTTAACCCGAGGTACCACTTTAGCAATGGGGCCTCCTGTTGCCACTGCGCCGCCGGCACACGATTTCTGTTCTCATCCTGGGGCAAAGTTTTTAAACCCAAGGTACTACTTCTGGGTTAGCAGAGTCTGTAACCCGAGGTGTTTTTAACCCGAGGTACCACTGTACTACGACATGTCTTGCTGGTGGGATCCAGACAACATGGTTATAGCAATAGGCCATCATCCATAGATATAGTATTACGATGGCTCCATCTTGTGGTGGAATTTGCTGTGTCTTTTTTTTGTATGTCTGCTAAAAATGATAAATCATTATACGGTGCTACTTCGGTTTTTGAATGTCTCAGAAGTCAAACATTTCGGTTTTTGAACACCGAAAACCCAGAAGTAAATGCTTCTGTTTTCAAACAAACCTCGGAAGTCAAACACGCTACGCGGCTTCCACTGAGTCCAAGATAGCTGTCGGCTATTGAAGTTTAGGTTTTTGAACGTTTCAGAAGTTGAACTGTCTTCCAGAACTGATTACATTCAAAAACCAAGGTACCACTGTATAGGCAAAAATAATTTGTCTACAACCAGGTTTTTTTTTCCTTAATGGGCAAACATTTATCATAGAAAGAGGGGCTAACAACAGCTCTGGAGGCAATAATGGGTTGGTTGAGGGCTGATAAACTGAAGCTGAATCCTGTCGAGACAGAGGGTGTACCAATGGGTGGTTTTCATGACGCAAAACTGAATGTATGACCTGTCCTTGGTGGAGTCACATTCCTCCTAAGAGCATCAGCTTCATAGTTGGGGGGCAGGTACTCCTGGATCCAGCACTGCCACTTGAGAACCAGGTGGGAAAGAGGGCCTGGTGCCAACTCCAGTTGGTGAGACCAACTGTGGTCATTATTGGACCAGGATAGCCTTGCCATTCTGCTGCATGCTCTTGTAAACTTTTGCTTAGATTGCTGCAATGCCCTCTACATTGGGCTTCCCTGGAGACTGCAGCTAGTGCAGAATGCTGCTCTTAGATTCTGATAGGTTTATCAACAGGCAGTCATATTACAACCCATACTTTGCCTAGTATGGCGCTGTGGTCTAAACCACTGAGCCTCTTGGGCTTGCCAGTCAGAAGGTCAGCGATTTGAATCTCCACAACCGAGTGAGCTCCTGTTGCTTTGTCTCAGATCCTGCCAACCTAGCAGTTTGAAAGCACACCAGTGCAAGGTAAACGGCGTTTCCGTGTGCTCTGGTTTCTGCCACGGTGTCCCGTTGCACCAGAAGCGGTTTAGTCATGCTGGCCAAATGACCCGGAAAGCTGTCTGTGGAGAAACGCCAGCTCCCTTGGCCTGAAAGTGACATGAGCGCTTAACTATCCAGGGGTCCTTTACCTTTTTTTACATGCATATCTGACCCTCAATAATCTCCTTAGGCCACAACTTCGCCTCAGCTAACCACCTTCTCCCCTGATCACACCCCTCCCCAGCCTTACTTTATACCCTCCTTGAGCGATTTTGGACCTGGCTGGAATGTGGTATTAAACTCTGATTATTATTTTTAATTTTTTTTTTTGTTCCACAAGAATTTTACATTGTTTAATTGTAAACAAAGCAACAGCCTCAGAGCAGTTTGTAAAAAGAGAATAAAACAATAGAATTATCGGTAAAAACATTTTAAAGCAACTACTGTATATAAAACATTTAAAAATAATTAAAATAAATGGTAAGCTAAAAGCCAGATTAAAATGCCTCTCAATATTCTATGTGTCTGGATAAGCTTGGCTAGACAAAAAAAGCTTGGCTGGATAAGCTTGGCTAGCTGGAAAGAGGAGAGTGAAGGCGCCTGCCTGATGTCAATGGACAGGGAGTTCCCAAGTGCAGGTGCACAAAAAGATAAATTTCTTACCAATGCAGAACGAGTATCATGTGGCACCTTTAGCAGTGCCAGTTCCACAGATCAAAGTGGCCCTAAAGCCAGAGATTCCCTGTGCTTTAGGGGAGCTGCATTGATTGCAGAGGGAATCATCTGGTTTAGGAAGGAGAAAGCATGGGAGAGCATTAGTTGAACAAGGGCGAATTAACAGAAGCGAGTGGGGTTCACAATTCACATTCAGCCAAAGATCCACACTTACCAGGGAGTATGTCCCCTCTGACCATTAGCGATGGGTGAATCTGCCAATTTCAGCTTCTCAGTTTTCAGCCTTAAGTTCACGTCTCTTGTTTCCATATCAGTCTGCATTGTTTTTAACAGTCCTTATAAAAAAACCCACCCACATTTTAATACAAAGTTCTTCTAATATACATGTTTGGATGCAGTTTTGCCTAATACTGTATGCACATTTTTTCAGAGCAATTCTTCCAGAATAATGCATGTTACTTTCACTAATATATGCATTTCAGTGGACACATTACCCCAGGCTTGGCTGAAGAACTGCACTGCAAAACTTGGGGAAGTGTGGATTTCCAAAGGTGGCTGTGTTTTGGTTTGGTAATTGGCTTGGAAAGTGTGGATTAGCGAGGTGGGTTTGCCTGCAAATGCAAACCTGAGTCGCATTTCTCCCGCTGTCCTTACTGAACACAGAATGACTTGCTTCTAAGTAAGCAAGTCTGTAAATAAAATAAAAAGATGTTTCCCCCCTGTTTCTGCCACCCCTCCCTTTGACAATTTCTTAGTAGTGTGAAAAACTGCCTATCTCCTATTTGCAGCCAACGGACTGGTAAGATAGCATGCTACCACAGCAACAGATTTTCTATATTGTTCTCTCTGGCCATAAATTAAATGCAATTCCCCCCGCCCTCTCTTTCTGCCTCTCCCTCCATCTCACCAGCCGGCGGCGGAAAAAGCTGGTGGCGTTTCAAACCATTTAAACATATAATTATTGAATCAAGAGCTGAGCCAAAGGGTTGCTGCACTTTGCCATCCTGTAGCTAATGGCCTTGCAGACACACCAATGACCAACAGAACCACCAACATTCTGTCCTTCGCAAGGAAACATTATGTTCTTCGTTGCCCCGCAGATGTCACAAGCCACGTTATTTGTTGTTGGCAAGGCAGCCTTCGCAAGTAACCTCGCTCTGACATCCACCCTAGAATAGTTCTTTTAAAAAGCAGGCCAGCCAAACCAGTGCTTCCAGAAGGAGATGCCCACTTTCAAGGTTGGCGGGGCATTGCCTCGCCAGCCCCTGCTTGACTGCCTCCTTACTTACAAACAGCTCATAGGCTGGCACTGGCTGGCAGCTTCCTCCTCCATAGTCTCAGTGTTGAGATTCGGCAGCAAGGAGGATGGGGACGGAAGTAGGGCCTGATCTGCACTATGCACTTAAAACAGCCTCTTACCACTTTAAACCATTGTGGCTTCCCCCAAAGGATCCTG